AACCCGCGTATGGGGTCTGATTTGGTGTCTACTGTTGTCATGGATCGGGTACGTGATTAGCCATTGATGCACCTTACGGATTTGGTGTTTGATTTGAAAAATGATTATGGATTGGAGATTAGTTAGCGGGTAGCATGGTTGGGCGTTGAGATAGCTAGGGGTGAAGTGTATAGGGATCACGTTATGTCGTTCGACGAACTTAGGTGGTATAGCGATTCCGTTATGGAAAAACCAAAGCATTAGTTGGTATAATGATTTCATTTACATTATTATTTGCATATAATAAAAACATTAGTTTTGTTTAAATGTGTGTGCACCGATGTATACATTCGGAATGCAAACCGAATGCTGATGTTGGGCAGGATACATGAAATATGGACACTGTCATTGTTGTTAGTAAGATTTACTATTTATTAACGTTGCATGACAGATATTAGATTGGACATTGTAATTGTGTTAATGGCTAATTTTAGGTGGCCTGACAGACAACAATGATGATGTAGATAGTGCCAACGTGAGGACACCAATGTAACACCTACACCAATTTGGATGTAAACTACCAGCACGGTTATGACACATGGTAAACAATATATTTTGATAAATCGCTAAAATTGCGGTTAAACCAACCAATCAGTCAAACCAAAAATGATTCAACCTAATCAGGTAGGCCAAAAGACCAACCAACTTATACAAAAATTAATTAATTAAAACTTTTACATTTATTTTAAAATTTAAATTATATTAGATTGAAACATGCACAATACTACAATATTAAGTAGAAGTATAAGATTCACTTTATATAAGTGAAACAACTTATTTTTTCTTTCTTTTTCCGATGTGAGATTATCAAATAAATCAAATACTAATTAGAGTTTTATTTTTATATGGTTAAATGGAATGTAACCAATGGAGATTTTCTTAATTATTTAAAATTAAGAAAATTATTATGAGATATTGAAGCTCACAAAGCTCCTCACAAAAACCCCTTTTTATTTATATAATACATAGATAGATAGATACCAAATACATGTGAGCAACCCAAAATGAAATATAGAAAAAATATATATATATTATATTTGTGATCCCTATAATATTTTAATGGTGACAATTTGATCTAGATTGTTTCAATTGTATAAATTTGTCCCTCTAATTTTTTACATTGCATAAATTTCGTCCAATTGATGATACTTGTTAATAAATCAGACATGAAATAGTGACAAAACAATTGATTCAAAACGGAATAAAATCATTCCAAATTAGATTTCAATATGTAGGGGTCATTTGAAAACAAGCTTTTTAGTAATGTTTTGATTTTTTGTTAAAATATGAGATAAAAAATTCATATGTTTATGATGACTTTTGATTTTTTACGAAAATATATATAAAAAGTAGAGTAAATGCAAAGAAATATTTGACATTTTAATATTTGTTGGTTTTTTTACTTTTTTATTAATAACTTTTTGAATTTTCAGCTTCTTCTTCTTTCTTTCTTTCTTTTTTTTTCTTTTTTTTTCTTTTTTTTAAAGCTATTTTGATGGGTTCCCAAACTACCCCATAATCACTTTGAAAGAGAGTGAATAGATTATTTGCTGCTTGATTTGAGTGTAATTTTCAAAGAGACATTATCAATTAAGCTAAATTAACAATCATGCCATTTGGACTAGTAATTGTTTAACACCTTTTGTGAGAGCCGGTCCAACCTTCGACGAGGCTTAAGGTGAAATCATAATTAGAGGTTTTTTTTTTTTAATTTAAATGTTTTACCATACAAATTTTGGGAGCTATTTAAAGCTTTTATGAGGGTTACGAAATGAAAAGAAAAGCAAAGTGCAAACTATCAAATAAATATAATTTATAAATTCAAAATGAGATCATGTCAAGAAAGAAAAAAAATGTGAAAATTAAAAATAAACTTGTAAAACATATTCTAAATTGATGGATGTCACTTTCAAAGTAACTCTTTTTAAATTAACAAATTGGATAATTTTAAAATTTATGCAACTTCTTTTCAATGTGAACATTCCAAAAAAAAAAAAAAATTGTTGAGCATCATGATCCCTCTCTAGCTGTCAACCAAGATTGTCAATGTATGCATTCTCCTAAAGTGGGCAATTTTGCTGCAGTCAAGAGAATTCTCAGATTTGTTCAGAGCACTCTTACTCATGGCTTGACTTTTACTCCCAGTACTTTTCATGTTCATGGGTATTCAGATTCCAACTAGGCAAGAGATGTTCATGATAGGAAGTCTGGTTATTGTGTTTTCTTGGGATCCAATTTGGTGTCTTGATCTGCTAAGAAGCAAGCAACCGTGTCTAGATCCTCCACTGAGGCTAAGTATCGAGCCTTAGCTCATGCTGCTGCAGAACTGAATTGGAAATTTGGATTTCTATGCTCCTGACTAAAATGGGTATATCTTCACCTACTACACCCATCCTTTGGTGTGACAACATCCCTGCTATATATAGCCTTGGCCTCAAATCCTTTCTTCCACTCTCAATCCAAACATATAGAAATCAATTGTCACTTTGTAAGAGATAAAATTCTTGCCAAGAATTTTCAACTCAAGTACATTCCCACCATTGATCAGTTAGCTGATCTGTTCACAAAGCCATTATTTTTTTCTCAATTTCAATAACTTAAAGCCAAGTTCATGGTACTTGATCATCCCATCAGCTTAAGGGGGAATGTTGATCATATTGATGCAATGGCTTCAAGTTCAGCTTTAGCTCTAAACTCAGCTTCAGTTGCAGTTCCACTTGTAACTGCTTCAACCTGCAATTGGGAAATTAACATGTGTTCAAGAAGATGTGTCTAGCTTGTCAATCTGTTAGGAAGTGGTTATAACTAACTAAATAGAGCATATGTGTACTGTATTTTGAGAGGACGTGAAGTACAATATATATAGGAGATGTATCACTCTATTGGAGGTATTCTTGAATAATAAAAATATTGAGTACTGAATCATGATTTTTCTTCAAAATAAAGTGGGTACTTTTGAAAAACATCTAACAAACGGGTAGCCACAGTTTTTTCCCGCAATATGTATAACATGTATTATTATATTATTCATGGGTTGAGGTCTTTTTGTTATAATGTCTCAAAATAAACTTTTAAAAAAATATACATACATATATAATTTTAATTTTTTTAAATTTAGGGCCCTCACAGATTGGGCCCAAAGCCCTTGCTTTAGTTGCTTAGCCATTAAGTTGGCTTTAGTTGCTTAGCTATTAAGTTGGATTTGACGTGAGCTCTCGTGTTCAACTCTGATTTAGAAGTTTGATATGCATTATAATCGTATTTATTTTTCTCATATTATAGAGATTATATATATATATTTATGAATGATTAGGGAGTTTAATTTATTGGTTGACTTAGATTTAACAGTAAAATTAATGCAATTAGAATGAGATGAATTTCACTCAAAAACAAATACAATGACTAAGAAAAGTGAAACGCATCACATAAGGACAACAGGACAACAAACTAGTAAACTGCTCAAATTATTTTGGATAAATTACATTTTTCATCTTAATAGTGTGTCTTAAATTTTACTATAGTTCTTTGAATAATTTGATCCATACGCTTTAAGTTTGATTTCAATTTGATCATTTCGTTCAAATTTTTATTAATATTTTTCTATGTGTGTACACCTTAATAGGCTGATACATATTCCAAAAATTATTAATTTTAACCTTTAATGTGAACGGAATGACTATATTGAAACTAGACTTAAATTATACAAATTATTTTGGGTAAATTACATTTTTCATCTTAATAGCGTATCTTAAATTTTACTCTAGTTCTTTGAATAATTTGATCCATACACTTTAAGTTTGATTTCAATTTGATCATTTCATTCAAATTTTTATCAATATTTTTATATGTGTGTACACATTAATAGGCTGATACATATTCCAAAAATTATTAATTTTAACCTTTAATTTGAACAGAATGGCTATATTGAAACTAGACTTAAATTATACAAATTGAAACAATAGCAGTTAAAGTGAAATTGGATTCAAACAATAAGAATTAGAGTGTAATTTAGCCAATTATTTTCTATATTGCAGGAAGAAAAACATTAGGCTACCATGGTGAATATGCTTGTGATCACCATTTCCCAATATGCAAATGAACAAAGCTTCTAGCGATCCCTGACACCAATGATTGCTGACGTTATCATTTGTGCAGAATCAGGAAATTAAGTTAGAGAGGCACTTTATAATTATAATTTTTTTTTCATGATTAGCTATAAGATAATGATAATTTTATGAGTTAAATTTAAGCATAAAAATTTAAATATTCATTATTAATAGTAACAAATCAAAATTCTATAATAGTGCAATTTAAGTTTACGATTTTAGCCACCAAACAAAAAAAATACAAATACAAATTACTAATTTTAAAAAATAAAAAGATATCATTTATAGTATAAATCATTATAAAATTTCTTTAATTTTTCTTTGAGAGGAATATATTAAAGAGATAGTATTATTTATAAATAATATTTTTTAAATAAAAATTGTTAGATAGTCTGAAAATATCATATGATCCCAGACACGAGAAAATGTAATTCACACTACGTGATTTACTGATTATCACCCAAGTAATTAACAATAATGAGATCTTATCTCTCATCCATAAATTTTATTATTTAGGCTATTACATAAATAATAGCACGTGGTGTTTCTGACGTGCAGAAAAAACATGTTGAGATAAAAACAGGAAAAAATTACTTTTGAATAAAGTTTCTGTAAAAAAAAATATTATTGAAAAGTCAGGTTGCACGTGTTCCTAATTCCTTGTTAGCTGCACCGCTGCCTGTCCTGACAGTGCTATTAAGCTGTTAAGTTGCATTTGATATTGAAGTTTGTACTGTGCTTGTTGAATCGCAAGGATTCCTTCAAGTTTCACTTCTTCTTTCGATCGTGCCTTAGCCAATACACAATTCACATGAGTTCCATAATCACAATCTACACAGCAATAAAGCCAACAGTCCTTCGAAACTTTGCAACGACAGACATCGCACTCAAAGCACATATCCTTGCTATTGTATGGACTTGGAAACGAATAGTACAGAGTGAGAGGGTGTTCGTGATCTTCGCGATTCACTTTTTCATTCAAGGAAGCACATTCAACGTGGAGATCAAAATCACATGCGGAGCAATTGTATCCTGAGTCCCTTCCATATTCGCGACAAGCATTACAAATGAACTCACGATTTGACAGAAGTGTGAGGGGGTGCTTGGCGTGGGACTTGTGTTCGATCTGCTTAGACCCTGTCACCTCTGTTTGCGAATCAGTGTCCACCGTGCTTGAATTTTGAGAAGTACAAGCACAATGGACATGGAGGTCAAAGTCACAACTGGAGCAGCTAAAAGAAAACCCAGTTCCAATTTGACCGCATGAATCGCACAAGAAGGATCCAGACATGTAAGTTGGATATGGTATGAGGGTTAAAGGATGAAGTGGATGGGATGGGTGTTTGATGGAGCGACTTGCACAAAAGCATTGTTCATGAAGGAAGTAATTGCATTGCCTGCAGACATAAACTAGACCTGAGCATGGCAAGTTACAACCAGAGCAAACAATTTTTGCCTCTTCTGGAATTTCATGGAGGCTTAAGTTGTGGGGGTGACTAAAATGCTTGTTCTCCATCTCTCTCTCTCTCTCTCTCTCTCGCTCTCTCAGAGTTGATGTGCATGTGTTTTTGGGTTTGTGTGGCAATATATACTATTAGAAGGTAGACTTTAGTAATTCTTTAAATTTGTTTTTTATTTTATTTTAGTTTTTTATTTATGAAGTTCATGGTTAGTTGCATTCGAAGCTAAGCTATAAGATTCTGAAAGATTATATTATACATTTCATTACAATTCATGTATACCTTCCTGGGATCTATCTATGCTTGCCAGCAGGTTTGTAGACTTTGCCTTCCCTAGCTCCATGTACTCCTTGTGTAATTGCTAAGTTTTCTCTAATAACAATTCTTTATATTTTTGGGTAATGCAGTTCTTCATTTGCTTGTGTTAAATGAATCCAAGCTGTAAGATTCTCATGGGTTGACGAGTAATATCATCATATTTTGTTTACTATTTATCACTATATATCATTACTATATTGGTTACCCACCCCCAAGGTGGCCAGTGGTTAGGACGTACACGTGACTGTGTGGGTAAGGCGTACGGTCACGGGTTTGATTCCCCCGAGGATTAAACATGGGATTTAAATGGGAGCCGCGGCGGTGGGTTGCTGTGATTTTTTCCCCCGAGGATTAGTCGGAGGGTCAAAAACCAGAGCCCGGATACCTCGGTCATCAAAAAAAAAAAAAACATATATATCATTACTATGTTGGTTGTCAAAAAAAAAAAAGTATTAATGTAAATCATAATTGTCAAGTCCATATTCGAATTGTGAATCGAATGGTTTTGTACCGAATCACGAATCGAATCGAATCAGTTACTTTTTCTAAATTACTTAAGAAAATATAATTACACACTTAAATGTTATGAATATGAAATATTTAAACTTAAATCAATGAAAATCTTGTTTTGAATAATGATCACGTAGTTTAATAGGTAAGAAGTTATCAAAAATTTCTATGTAAAATCACCATATTAAATTTCCTATTTTTAGATATTTTTTGTTGACCATTCTTAAAAAAAAAAAAGGGACAAACTCTCAATTATTCAAAATTACAATAATTTAACAATGACCTAAGAAGTGTGGATATGAACACGTTACACAACATGAACATGTGAAGGAGTTATCCCACCAGCTGAGCTGCACACTACAAGAATTAACACTTTTGGCAACAAAAAAATTGGTCGTTAAAATTCAATTTTTGGTCGGCAAAAGTTATCCGCGACCAATTTTTTTGGTCGCTACTTTGGTCGCCAATTGAGGGTCGACAAAAGTAATTCGCGACCAAAACTGTGGTTGGTCGGCAAAAGTTGGATTTCGCGACTAAATTTTTTGTTGCTAAATATTTAATTACCGCGACTAATTTATTTTGTCGCCAAAACACTTTGGTCGCGAAAAGTGCTATTTTCCCGACCAAAAAGTTTGGTCGCCAATTGTCACATTCAACGACCAAAACGTTTGGTCACCAATTGTGACATTCCGCGACCAAAAAGTTTGGTCGCCAATCGTGACATTCCGCGACCAAAAATTTTGGTCGCCAATCGTGACATTCCGCGACCAAAAAGTTTGGTCGTCAATTGTGACATTCCCCGACCAAAAAAGGTTTTGGTCGCCATTTGTTATTTTTCGCGACCAAAACTTTTGGTGGCCAAAAGTGAGTTTCCACGACCAAGAACTGTTTTGGTCGGCAATAGATGTATTTTTTGCGACCAAAACTCTTGGTCGGCAATTGTCATTTTTTGCGAAAAAAAATAATTTATTTGTCGCGACTAATAAATTGGTCGCCAAAGCAGGAAAACAATACACCTGTAATTCCTAATAATTCATTCAATCCATAATAAACCTATAATTTTAAAGCATCCTTCAAATTAACTGAATCATTAACATTCGACACAATACATAATTCATTAACATTCGACACAATAAAACTATTCTAAGTTTTTATTCACAAGTCACATCCATCTAGCATAACAAATTGAAACAATACATAATTCAGATTTACAGCAACAGGAAAATTGCTTAATCACTAAGTTGCCTTGATAGCCAATCAAAAAATCCTTGCGCCCTTCCGTGCCATGCTTCGCATCCATCAAAGCAGTAGTGATGTAAGGCACTTAATAAAGAAACAGAATTGGAAAATTTATCAGAGAAGCATGATAGTGGCAGCAACATTGGATTGCAAACCCGTATCTTTGCAAAAATCAATTAAATCATCGTATTGAGACAACTACCTGGCATAATAAAACTGTACCTATTGTTGTACCTGCAAATTTCAGTACACGATGATTAATAAGCTAACAACCATAACAAATACAGGCATAGTTAACTATCAAAGCTCCATTGATTCAGTTCACTTTTATATATGATTTTTTAATAAAGTTGGTAAAGTTTATTTTAACGAATAATACCACAGATTAATTAAAACATGAATGATTCTGATGTTCTTAGTTTTAGATTAAACTTTGGGTTGTAGATGAGCAGCTTGAGCTGACATTCAATCAGCACTGATGATCAAGGCCCCTAATCTAAGTAATCACACACAAAAGATTAACGTGTACCAAAAAAAAATATAAATTTGCAGTTCACATAAATAAGGTGGCATAACATTTGTGCCTCCTTTCTGTTCTCTTTCCCAAGACATCAAGGGAAAGCATATTCATCCATTCTGCTACCCTACCTACCAGATATGATATGAATGAATACATCTGACGAGTTTTCCTTAAAAATAATAATAGAGATAAAACAAACTTCTCTCTAGTGGATGCATATTTGTGGACAGGGAGTGAGTTTAGGTACTACAGTGCAAAAGTGAAGTGGATGCATATTTGTGCACCAAAGGCTGAAGAGGGCTTGGGATTCAGAAATTTGAGAGAGTGGAATAAGGCCACTATGCTAAGACAACCTTTGTGGGCTTTAAGTAAGAAAGCTGATTCTTTGTGGGTTAAGTGGGTCCATACTTGTGTAATTAAGGGTAAGTGTCTTCCTACTGAGGCATCTTGGACTGTTAGGAAGTTTTTTGAACTAAGAGATGTGGGGCAGCCTTTGATCAATATATCATTGGTAATGGGACTGTTGCATTTCCGCGATTTGATAATTGGCATCCCTTGGGTCCTTTGAATAAGAAATATGGGGAAAGGGTTGCTTTTCATATGGGTATGGCTGTGAATAGCAGAGTTTCCTCTTATCATTAATTTTGGGAATTGGAAGTGGCCTAGAGGTAGAAGAGTGGTTATTCCTGAGATTAAAGCTAATACCCCTGCTAGCTTCGTATCGAGTCCTAATAGGCCTGGCTCAGTGTTTTGGCTACCCTCTAGTAATGGCGAATATACTGTGGCTTCAGCTTGGCAAGCAATTCAAATGGTATTCCCTATCGTCCCTTGACATAAATTGGCATGGTTTCCTCAAAATGTTGCTAAGTGGAGCTTTGTGCAATTGGTTGCTGTTCTGAGATTGAAGGTAATACCCTGCTAGCTTTGTATTGAATCCTAATAGGCCTGACTCCGTGTTTTGGTTACCCTCTAGTAATGGTGAAAAGCTTGGCAAGCAATTCAAACACTATATCCTATCGTCCCTTGACATAAATTGGCATGGTTGCCTCAAAATGTTCCTAAGTGGAGCTTTGTGAAATGTGTTGCTGTTCAGAGAGGACTGGCTACAATGGATAGAATGTTTAAGTGGGGGATTGTTTCTGAAAACAAGTGTGTATTGTGCAATGGGTTTGATCACGATCATTTATTTTTTTGTTAATATTTTTCAGCATATACTTGGACTGTTCTTTTGAGGAGAATTCTTCCTGGTAGAAGAATGCCTGACTTTTGCTGAAGAGTGTGGAGGTAAGGCTATTACAGATTATGTTTACAGGTTTACCCTTGCTGGTACTATGTATCATGTTTGGAAGGGAAAGGAGTCAAGAAGATAGAAATGGGTGATATTAGAGCTAATCTTAGCTCATTAAGGAATGTAAAATTTTGTCCTAGTGCTAGAAACAGGAGTTGTGTCATGTGAAGTTTGTTTTATTTCAAACCATCCCCAGCCCTTCCCATCAATGTTACAAGAAGGACTTGAGAAAGCTCCTCTTGGAGATTTAACTTCTCTCTAGTGCAAGCAGTTAACTTCTTTTTCAAGCTCTCAATCTCCTGCTCCAAGCCAGCTGTCCTAATGGGGGGGATAAATTCACAATGCATTCTTATTTCCAATTTGAAAAGATAATGCCAACGCATACCTACCAAAAAAAATATTAATGATAACAACTTCATCTGATGGACTTGAGATAAATAATATACCTCTGAAAATGCATTCGAGTAGCCACAGCAAGGTAACCAGGACCAGCTTGCTGCATACACAACTGTTCAATGTCTTTACGTAACTCATCACGCCAACCGGAGAGTGCTTTTTCAAGAAAAGAAGTGAATAAGGATCTGTATAATACTCCCAGGGGAGGAATTTTGAAAACACATTAAAGAGGAAAATCTCTTCAGAGAAATTTTCTTTTAGCAAAAAGCTAAGACTAGCTCTCTGACTCAAAGTTTAATGGAATCTAATTTTTGAGATGGTAAGTAAACCCCAGAACTTCTCAGATGGGCCACCAACATCTTTGTTTAACACATTTCAATCATGCTAGAAGGTCAGTCACTACTACAACATATGACCACTCAAATTCGGAAAAATTCAAATCAAATTCTAACCAGCACTATAAATATAAACAATAATAATGAACATTCTCATCAATGTCCCCTCACAAAATGCTCCATGACCAAAATTCTATATAGGACATGTCCCATTACCAAGTATTAACCAGTCTTCATGTTTCCTCATAGAATTTTCTTTATGAAAAGGCAACTACATATTATTTCCAAAGTATTTGTTGGTAACAATTCAAAAAATCTCACTCATACGTAACGATTTATTTTCTTATTCACTATTTAAACATTGTCATTACAATCCAAGGAAAGGAATTGTGGCACACAGAAGTAGTATAATTAGAAATGGAACTGTATACATAGCAAATAGGTATTTCATAAAATAAACATTAGAATCTTTCCCTGGCCTAAAATATGTGGAATAAAAAAAGAATAAACAACTAAAGCTTAGATGCTTTTCATGAATGAAAATAAATAAATAAATAACCCAAAAATAAAAATTCTATTACAATAAAATGAAAAACAAAAAAACATATTATTTAAACATTTACCTTTCATGCCTTTCTTTTGCAGGCATCAACGCCCTGAGTGACCTGAGTGATTTCACGGCTGACTCAATCATATCCATCTCATACTCTACTTTCTCATTTCTCATACTCTACTTTCACATTTCAGAAAATTCATACGAGTCCAGTGATGTCACAGTTTTTGATATGGCCTTGTTCAACACGGAGAGAATCCACTGGCAGTTAAATGGCATGATATCTGGAACCACATTTGTTGGAGGGGTGTAATTATCTCCAAGTTTGAAAACACACAAAGCAAAATTGAAAAGTTCATGCCAGATCCAAATTCTTAAGAACAGCAATCAAGATATTATAGTTAGTAGTAAGTTCCACTAATGAGAATATATTAGATCCTTGAAAATATAGTTAGATTATGATCTTTATTTTTCGCTGCAACAGAGAAAGGTAACAACTATTTCAGAAATAATTGGTGAATTTCAAGATAAATGAGTAAAAGTAATTTATGGTCAACTTTACATAAATAATGTCAAAAGGCTAAAATAGCCATCAATTCCAATAGAAAGGAACCCAATTCAGAACTCACTTTGTCCTTGTCCACGTTTGATAAGTTCAGCTCCTCTTGAAAGGATTTATTCAACTTCAGTTCCTGTAGGAATGGAAAAGAGATCAGGCAAGAAATTTAAAACGACAAAATGTGATATTACAACTGGACATTGAAAGAGTAGGGAAGAACCTTGTAATTTTAGCTGAATATTTGCTAACTTGTCACGTTCTTTCTCAAGTTCTAAGCCCAAGTTATTTATTTTTGACTCATGAGCTGCCTGAATCGCTGCCAGAGACATGTTTTTCTCTTCTAACAAATATGCAAGCTCCTAGAAAGCATTCATATATGTGTTGTCAACTTCAATCATTATGGACAAAGAACAAAAATGAAACACACTAACTAATCGACTTCAAGAGAGGAAACATGAAAAAAAAGAAAAAAAGAAAAAAAACAGAAGTTGCATCATAAACACAGCGAAGTGATAACTTCTCAGGGAATGTGCTAATCCCAAAATTAAATTTTAATAAAAAATATTTAATCCATACAAAGGTTCCTAAAACTAAGAAATTTTAGCATGCTAGCCAAAAATCAATTTGGAAATTGTAACATCAGAATCCAATCTAAGACACAAAATAGGTGACACATATTCATTAACTATATCTCACTCAAACTATGATATATAATTGTCAGAACAAAACAGAGCAAAAGGTACCATTACCTTTTCATTGCCCTGAATACCAGATTGTTTTGATTCTATCTTAGTGTGAAATGTGAATGATTTCAGGTTGCATAGATTGTGCAATCCCATTGCTTAGTCCATCCTGTTTATAGACAATTCCATTGTGTGTTTGATCACCAATAGAATGAAATTTTACAAGAGCTTTATGCTGCCAGTTGGGCGATTGATCACTACTCCCCTCGACAAATTCCAGATAAGATCAGCCAGTGATGCCCAATTCAAAGAGGTGCCCGAAGATCATCTCGGGCACATAAACCCCTTCCTCCTGATGAATCTCCACGGGAACACCATCCCCATTGTTATAAACACTAATACAATTCTGTTCCACATCGATCGTCACCTTGACGGATATAAGTTGAAAAAAAATACCTAGATGAATCAGAAATGGCGAAGACGGACGGCGGCCCAGACGGACGACAAGGTCGATTGGCGCAACTGAGCTTTGATCGAATTCGACTGAGGTGTGTGAAAGAGGCGCGTATTTAGGTTTTATGTGTTTGAATTAGTAAATTATCCCCTACCAATTTGAATTAGTGATTTGGAACAAGAGGACAGAGGAGAGTGGGATAGAGAATCTGGTTCTCTATCTTGTTACTTCTTAGATGCAAAACATAAATTTATTAGAAAGCCAGCACCTTAATTTTAAGGCTGGTAAAAACTTTATGGAGAAATAAACTTTAAATCTCTCTGAGATATCGTGAGGTGTATTGTATGTTTTATTGTGCCCTCAGATTTAAGCTTTTAACAGAAAGTGGCATAATAAGAAAATACAGACAGTGATTTAATCAAATTTTACTGAACAAGTTCCATTATAAATATGTGCAAGGCCAAAAATATTAGCAAATTAACAACATGAATTTCTAAAAGCAATCTGTAAAAAGGAAAATTTCAAGAAAAGTAAAGACTTTAAGAAAGAAAACTTCTATGAAAAAGCTTGTTGAAGGCGAATTATGGTCCCAAAAAAGAACCAATAAAATTGCACATACCATTCTGAGTTGCAGAGCATGAGGATGCATAAGCTTTATCTGCGCAAAAGCAAGTAAATGAGCTTGAACCCGATTCATACCCACGTTGCCCACCCGATGTGACACATTGACTGCATAGATCACTATTTACAGACCACTGCAACCCAAAACCACCATCAAGAGCTGCCTTTAGACTTGTTGAAGAAGATGAATTACCCTCCAGAGCCTGAGCTACAGATTGAAAGACTGGAACTATGACACTTGAAAAACAACTTATCGTACTGTTGGAGAATAGTGTGCTTCTAGTCAGATAAAAATTTCTGTCATCAATCCCATTAACACTGCAGTTGAACTGCCCAGAACTGCCCAGTTGTAGAACTAGAATTTGGCTGCAGCCGAAAAACAGAGTCAGATTATGCGCGTTGGAAGCCCGGATGACCACAGTAGTCTGGTCTGTTGCCTTCCCAGAAAGGATAATCAATGTTCTGCATGTTTGCACACTGGAAGGTTTTGCTGTAGTTTAGAAATTGTTCGTCAGTGGCATGCACGGATAATGGAATATGGATTAAGATGAAGATCAGTGTGATCATGAAGAACAGAGAGGAGGATGGAGATGAATGGAGATGCATTTTGACTTCAGAGAGAGAGAGAGAGGGAGAGAGAGAGAGATGCTTATCTAACAGAGAGAGAGAGAGAGAGATGGAGACTAATGAGTATTATAACAAAGTGAAATGGGACTGAAGTTTTTTTAAAGAAGGGAAAAAAAGGAGAAGTTTCACCATAAATAATCTAATATTATTAGCTATGACTTTAATTGCACTCAAATAAGAAAAATAAAATAAGATTGAAAATTTTGACAACAAAAGATTCTTAGCCAATTGATATGATCAGCTTTGCAACTGTTAAAGTGCTAGGTAAATTGTAGATTATAGACGTCCCCGAACGCCCCGGGAGGAACGAGCTCCCGTTCTGTTCATTTTGGAGTCACTACAGCTCAGGACTCTCAAATTTGTCACGGTTCTAAATCTGAACCAAAGAGTCCAAATCCGGCAAATCGTTTTGAGAAAACAGATTTTCGAAAGAAGTACCAAAAATGGACTGCTTTGCCAGATACATTTGCATACTGCTGCTAAAAAAGAATCAAATTCCATGCCAAGTTAAAAGCAAATATATTTAATAAAATAAAAAAACCTATGTTTGTGGTCAGATGATGATGTTTTAGAAACTTCTGACACAATAATTAGCAGCACATCAATTCAAAGATGTAGCGGTATGGTATCCCACCAGAGAATGAGCTCCCAGAACCATAGAAGTAACCGATTCAATATACACACATCAACAACTCTGCTTTAACCATACATTTATGGAAAAACATCATCACTGAAAAGAAAATTTTCATATTCAGATGAGGATGTTGATATAACAAGGAGTGAAGAAGAGAAACCAAAAAAGAAAAAGAAAAAAAAAGAGGAATATTCCCTTATTTTCCCAATTTACCTTCTGAACACACAAGTAACATCAATGATCTGTTCTATGAAACAAACTCAATATTAATCTGGAATTAAAGTTGATGCATTGATACTGAAGAAACACTACCAATTGAATAAATCATCATCCCCACTCCTCTTGATCAAAATTTCGAAGTGTTTATGAGGCAATATGTGGCAAAGATTTAAATCTCATGTCATATGACCCACACCTCAAAATGAATTTGATCTACATATTTTAAATTCAAAAAATTTAATGTATCAGCAACCTTACTGCAACTATTTAAGAAAGCGCTCAACTAATATATGAAATTCAATGCACTAATCTGTCAAGTGTTAGAAAATACAAAAACAAATCTGCCTTCAGATAAAAACATGAATAGGCAAATGGATAAAAAATAAAAGCATGAACAATTTTACCATCTTGTTGCCAAAAGTAGAACCTCAGGCCTTGCAGTTATCAGATTACCAAAAAATATTTTCAAAGGGAAAGTCATAGTAAGGTTAACGTTCCCTTCTATTATCAAACTTCATTACACAAAACTAACTGATTCAATCAAAATGAATTCTTGTTTGTTTTGACTACAGTGTTATGGATGACCTGACAACTCTATTTCACATCAGCTAATCTAGTAGCTAGTCAAACTTCATTACACTTATTTAGATTACACTACTAGAATTTAAAATACTTCAATGCACCCATTCCAAAATATGAATCGCCAGGGTTAGTGTTTTCTGGTAACACTGTGCTAATCCAATTGGAAAATGATTGTTGAGCAAAAGCTTAATTATCAACTCAATCAAATCCCAAATACATAGTGAATTCACAATTTTGGGTTCATAAATAAAAGCAACCACCTACAAACCTTACTATAATTCTCACAGTTCACAATAGAAGTCTACTTGAAAATAATCTTTTATATATTTTTTGGATTCATAAATTTTTAAGTGTTTATTTTCTATCGGTTAGTCATGGTTTTAGGAAAAAAATGGTTTAGCTATTAGTTATAGGTGCAAACAAGTTTGTTACAGAAAAGGATAACAATTTGCTATCATCAATTTCAAAATTTTCAATCCTTGTAATTTTTTTGAACACCAGTTACCTAATTAACAAAATAAAATTAAAAAAAAACCATCATGTCTTACCAGAAGAGAATTGGTTTTTAGGTCATTATGCAAATGCCCCAAAATAAAAACAACGAAAACAAAAGGTATTAAGGCAATGTTTTTGGAACTAATAGTAGGACCCAAAAAAAATGAAAAAGACAGAAAAAATAAAATGGTAGATTAAAAAAGAAAACATACCCACAAGGACCATCCTCAGATCGCACCATCCCATAGATAGTGTCCTTTCTCTCCCTTGGACGAGGCAATGATATTTGCTTCAAGAAGAGAGCTCGATCCCTATCCAAATGCTCCTTTGGATACCTCTGCCCGTCCACCAAAACACAGAATTCCATAGGCACATAATTTTTTCTATTACCTTTGCCCAAATCCACACAAGGCATGTCCTGGTAACTTAGTTCCTTGTTATATTTCTCCCTGAAATACTCGACGAGGCCAATTTCCCTCGGTGGATTCTCACCCTCTCGATCTTCAAGAGTGAATGTAATATCTCGCGTATTTTGATCACTGAACCCTGCTATAGTGTATTTCTGGTTTGTCAGACGGTGAGTTACATGAACTTTCAATCCTTTCAACACATGCATTACCTCTCGCATTACTTCTCTTCTTGACGTTCTCACATCATTTAGTTGAAAACCCTGTTCCATAAGGAAGTCTAGGACAGGCAATCGCTTGCGCAATGCCAACACCGAAGAGTCCAAACATAGAGCTAGACCCTGGGCAGTGGCCTTTAGGCTCTGTTGAAAGCCTCTGAAAGCTGCAACGCCATAGCCAAGGTCATCGTTTGGTCTAAATTCCTTGGAGAAAAAACTTCGACCAACAGAGTTCATATGCCTACTTGGATTATCCTTCATTACCAAATCCATCCCTTGAAATATTTCACGAGGGACATATGAGAGCATTCCTCGTAAGTAATCGTTTAGCTTTGAAACCTTCAGCTCATTCACTAACTCAATAGTGAATCTATAAGAGCGAGGCGCAGTGTCCTCTCCACCAGACAACTCCACATAGAACGTCCCAGTGGGTAGTGGCACTGCACTGAAGATGTTCTTCTCGCCATCATAAGTAGATATTAGCTCGGGAAATCGAGTGGGATCATCAGAAAATAGTTTGTCCGTAATCAAACGGAGATCAGATTTCGAAATTGGCCTCTTTGCAGCGCGACTGCCAGGAGGCATATTTGGTTTGATATCCACATCATAGTGCATTATGATGCTCTGTGGATTGAATTTCACAGGAAAGTGGTTTGCAAAGAGCCTAGTATTCCTGAAAGCAAGTGTGCCCCCATTGTCAGGTCGTTTTATGGGCACAATCTTCTTCTCTAAACTTCCTCCCGGAATAGACGATGAAGGCTTCTTTTCTGAAATTTGCAATTGCTTTATATCTGGGAACAACAAAACAAAGAAATGCTTAGTCAAATCTGAGGATTTCCATCACAAGTTGATATCATAAAATTCGAAGATCAGGAGTGGAGATGGCTTTGCCCTTTGCCCTTTGATTAAATGTATATGTATATGTATATGTATATGTATATGTATATGAGGAGAGAGAGAGAGTAATACCTATGAGTTTGAACAGAAGAAGTAAGATTGGAGATTTTGGAAATCATCCAAAGCGCCTGAAATGATTCAATGGTGATTAGAACTCATGTAAAAAATTAAAAAAATTGCTTAAAACTTTTTAAAAAAATCAATAAAAAAATACGGAAAACAAAAAATTTCAATTTTCTGAAAAATGAATCCTGAGTTATGAAACCAAATTAATTTTATTAAATCACAAATTAATCCTAAATCTCTAATTTGTTATCCTAAATCAACTATATATATAAATAACTGTATACATAGCTCTATATTCTTGCTTTTCTTTTGTTTTGCCAAATGAATGCTACGAATTTGAAAATCTTAGGATGGAATTAACATAATTGTTGATAATTGAGCTTGGTATGCACCATTCTTTTTTCTTTTTTTTCCTATTAACCAAATGAGGACCAGAAAAGAAAAAGAGATATAAAACAAAAATTAGTTCAAGCTGTCATATATTGGAACAAAGAAAAAACATATCATGTAACCTAAAATTATCAATCAAAATTAAAGACATGATTATAATGATTGTCACTGCCAATTAACTGGGACATTGGATTTGTAAGTATGAAATCCAAAAAAAAAACAAAAGGAAAACCTTGTGAATTGGATTGTTGGCTTACTGCATAATATTTTGTAACATTTAGAAGACAAATTTGAAGAGGCATATGGAAACGTTTCTTTGAAGAATTTCAACAAACATTTATATTGTGTTTGGTTGGGGGATTTGAGAAGGAATTTAGAGGAAAAGGCAAGTGAAATGTGAATAAAATATACTTATATTTCACCTAATTTCATACCTATTTTTTTCTATTTCCTTTCCAAATCCCCGAATCAGACACAACGTTAGAGTACAAACCATAAAATACATAAATCCATTATTTAGTAAAATATCTCATTCAAAAAAAAAAAAAAAAATTTCTTTGGTAAAAAAACCACAAACCCCAAAATAAACAAATTGTGAAAGAAAGTAGAGCAAATAAAAACAAATCTAAATTATAGATTAAAAAAAAAACTTAGCAAAAAAGAAATTAAATATTTCAATGTTAATAAAGATTTGAACTTTTTCCAACTCACATTCAAATATTTCAACTTTTCCTAACCCACATTCAAGAAGAAAATAAAAAAATAAAATAAAAGGGTCAATTCTGCAAGCTAATTTTTCAACCCACATGCAAGAACCATTGATGCTAATTTTTCAAGTTTTTCCAACTAATTTTTTAAGTCTTAATTCAAAACCTTAATTTTTCAATTGAAATCACCAAATCAAAACCTTAGGGGCATGTTTGATTGGAGGGATTAAAGCATGGGATTGGGATTATTAATCCGTGGGCCCAATTATCCTATGTTTGTTTTGACACTTTGGTTTAGGATTATTAATCCAATGGATAATTAATCCAACAAATTTGTAGGATTATTAGTAATGGGGTAGGGGTGGGATAGTTAACACCACACTAATTTGATAGGATTATTAATACTTCACTAATAGTGAAGTGAATCAAACATGACCTAGGAGTACTGCAAGGAAGAGTATTCTAGAGGCATGTTTGCTTTAAGAGATGAAAGGTGGGACTGGATTAATAATCACGTATGATTCACAAAATTGCATGTTTGTTTTGGACTGTTACAGGATTAATAATAATCCCGTGGAATAATGAAATCCATCTAGGGAGGAAACAATTCAATGAGGGATTTGGGTTGGCTAATCTAATCTCATGAGATTGAAGATGAAAATATCTTATTGTCCATTATTTTATAAATAATAATATTATAAATTTAGACTTAATTATTTAGAAAGGGAGCTTTTTTAGTAAGTCCATTATCTAAGAGTGTTGTTCCATAAAACCCATAGTGTTTTACAATATTCCATTAGGTCCATTTCATACAAAAAGACCAAAAAAACCCTCAAAAAAACACGCGACCCTCTCTCTCTCTTTGAATCTAATAACCATCTCTCTTCCCCTCTCTATTCTTGCGCAGGAAATCACGCACAGTACCTCTACAGTCCAGAAATCCAAAACCATATTCCACATCGCCTCAACGCCCAGAAGACTGTATTCCTTCCATCGTTGCATCGTCGCATCGTCGCATCGTCTCATCATCTTCTCCGTCATCCCTACGCCGAGAAGACTGTCTTCGTTCCATCGCCACATCGTCTCATCATCTTCTTCGTCGTTCGTACGCCCAGAAAACTGTATACGTTCCTTCGTCGCATCGTCCCTTCGTCTCAACATCTTTGTCGTCGAAATGGGCAAAAAACGTAAACATTCTACTCATTCGTGTATTTAAACCGTAAACCTCTTTATCAACAACCAACATTGTGAACTTTTACAAATATCCCCTTTTCCTATGCATACAATATATAGGAGTCCATATTGTTCATACCCTAACATTTATTCTGAACCCCTCAATCGTAATCCCTAATTTTATTGATTTTTGCAGTAAAAAACATTACAGTTGCTATTACATTGTGTTCACAACTATCAACATTCGAAAATGTTTTGGTTGTAGTTGTTGTTATTGAAAGCTGTGAATATTCACATTGTGTATTTATGTTTGCTGTATCTACAAATTAAAAAAATTGCTTAAAACTTTTTAAAAAAATCAATAAAAAAATACGGAAAACAAAAAATTTCAATTTTCTGAAAAATGAATCCTGAGTTATGAAACCAAATTAATTTTATTAAATCACAAATTAATCCTAAATCTCTAATTTGTTATCCTAAATCAACTATATATATAAATAACTGTATACATAGCTCTATATTCTTGCTTTTCTTTTGTTTTGCCAAATGAATGCTACGAATTTGAAAATCTTAGGATGGAATTAACATAATTGTTGATAATTGAGCTTGGTATGCACCATTCTTTTTTCTTTTTTTTCCTATTAACCAAATGAGGACCAGAAAAGAAAAAGAGATATAAAACAAAAATTAGTTCAAGCTGTCATATATTGGAACAAAGAAAAAACATATCATGTAACCTAAAATTATCAATCAAAATTAAAGACATGATTATAATGATTGTCACTGCCAATTAACAGGGACATTGGATTTGTAAGTATGAAATCCAAAAAAAAACCAAAGGAAAACCATGTGAATTGGATTGTTGGCTTACTGCATAATATTTTGTAACATTTAGAAGACAAATTTGAAGAGGCATATGGAAACGTTTCTTTGAAGAATTTCAACAAACATTTATATTGTGTATGGTTGGGGGATTTGAGAAGGAATTTAGAGAAAAAGACAAGTGAAATGTGAATAAAATATACTTATATTTCACCTAATTTCATACCTATTTTTTTCTATTTCCTTTCCAAATCCCCGAATCAGAGTACAAACCATCACTACAAGAATTAACACTTTTGGCAACAAAAAAATTGGTCGCTAAAAGTCTATTTTTGGTCGGCAAAAGTTATCCGCGACCAATTTTTTTGGTCGCTACTTTGGTCGCCAATTGAGGGTCGGCAAAAGTAATTCGCGACCAAAATTTTGATTGGTCGGCAAAAGTTGGATTTGCCGACTAAATTTTTGGTCGCTAAATATTTAATTACCGCGACTAATTCATTTTGTCGCTAAAACACTTTGGTCGCGAAAAGTGATATTTTCCCGACCAAATTTCTTAGTCGCCAATTGTCACATTTTGCGACCAAAAAGTTTGGTCGCCCATTTTCACATTTCGCAACCAAAAAATTTGGTCGCCATTTGTTACTTTTCGCAACCAAACCTTTTGGTCGGCAAAAGTGAGATTCCACGACCAAGAGCTGTTTTGGTCGGCAATAATAGCAAAGCCACCTTTTTCCCCAGGAAGAGAAACAGTCTCCCACCTAACCAAATAAGCCCCTTTGCCCTCTTCACACCCTTCCCAAAGAAAATCTCTCATCAATTTCTCAATTTTCCTCGCAATACTAACCGGAATTTTGAAAAGGGTCAGGAAATAAATAAGAACAAATCTTAATACGGATTGTACCAAAGTATATCCCCCGCCCCCGCCCCCTTAGACAACAAAACTCACTTCCATCCCTTCAATCTTTTCCCAATTTTGACAAGAACAAGTTCCCAAAAGGATGCCAATCTAGGATTTCCTCCCAATGGAAGCCCCAAGTATTCGAGAGGAAAGGAATCAATGGAACATCCCAACAGATCCACCACCCTATGCACATACATAGCTATCTTCCAAATTAATATCCATAACACTGCTCTTGCTAAGATTGCCCGGCTCAATTTCAAAAATTCTCAGAATCTTTAGCAAACTCCCCACCTTATTTTCCTCCTTTGATGAGAAGAATATAGCATCATCCGCAAATTGTAAATGTAACTCCAATCCTATCCCTTCCCATTTGCTCAAATTCACTCATTTCCTTCAATATACCTGTGACAACATTTAATCAGTTAGCATTTGACCTAGTGTTGGGTAACTGTAATTTGCTTGTAGTGATTGAAGACAGAAACTCACATTTCTTTCAAGAAAGTGTGCTTATAGAATGCATCCGGGATTCTCCCAGTAATTGATTATGATCCAGGTACCTGCAATGAAAGCAAGCTTAAGATGCTGTCCCATGCCTACACAAAAAAAGATGCTGTCCCAGATACACAAATGCTACATGATGCAAAAAAAGGGGAAAAGCAAATTAAAGAAGGGAAAAAAAAGGCATTACTTGTGATAAAAACAACAGTTAAAAGCCATGAATCAAAGCCATAAGGGATGAAGAAATCTTCTCAATATTGAAGATTGGGTCACAGATGTCAAGGAACGAAACAAAGTGTATCGATGAAATAGGAAACCTAACTCAACCTTGGTTCCACTAACAAACTTGTCCTGCAAATCCAAATACCTTGGGTGTCAATTTCATTGGTATGACCTTGTTGCATTGGTATGAGACAACTGATATGAGGCTATTAGATCAGTACAATAGTGACATTTATCACAAAATAATAAATTATAGGCATAATTTTATAAGGAAAATAAAGTGTGCAATGTAAATTTAAAGTTAGTGATTGAGGGTTATACAAAGAATACATCTTATACGTATATTTTAATTATGGGTAATTTTTTTAATTCTGGGAAATGATCGATTAATTTTAAACAAAATCGAAAGATACATAGTAGGCGAAACAGGGGGTTGTTAAAGCTTTTTTTTTTGAGAAAGGTAAGATCTGTCTAAGGTTAATGGTGATAGTTCTATGGTGATGGTAATAGTTCCATCTATACACTACAATTGAGTGACACATCACACAGGTAAAAATCTATTTTCAAAGGTTGTACCCAGTACACAATTCTTGCTTTATAAGGGTTTGGGAGAGGTAATAGGTAGTCAACCTTACCCCTAGTTTGGAGACTCAAAAATCTATTCTTAAAGTATAAAAAAAAAATAAAAAACTACAGCATTTTCTATATATGTTAGTTACAGATAAGCATAACAGTATTTTTCTATAGATCTCTTCCCACAGAATAGGATCAGGAACGTAGTGAATCATATACAACTTTAAACATCACAAACTTGGAAAAAATATATTATATATGAAGCACTTAACATTTTAAAACTTCAAGCAACAATTAAAAATACCTTCTTTGAGATAAAACGGAGGTCTGGATAAGCAGCTTCATATGTCTCCCCCAATAATGGATTAAATGGCTTGCAATTTCTTCCCTCTGTACAAGAATATCTTGACACAGCAAATGCTGCTATATTAAGGATCCTCATAAGGCTATTACCCTACAAAGTCATACGAAGAAGGTAATCAATAACTTAAGATCAATTCCTCAACTTTTTTTATGTCAATTCCAGATAAACTTTATACTTTTTCTGTTCTTTTCCTTTTAAAAGCTTTCTTTAGCTAGAGACTTCAAATGTAAAGTCTTGCAGGTTCTAGACAAAAGAATGAATAAATCTCCAATGTTTTCATAGCCACACAAATATTGAACAAAACACAAAATCAGAAATGGATACTCTGCAATTAACCTACCAAACTCTGAGTCAAAGTATGTAAAAATAGTAAGAAAATGAATTTGTTGTGGACCCCTTTAGCTACGTTCTCTACTTCTCACAATATAATAATAACCACAACAATAACAAGAATAATAATAACAATCATGGCAGCATCAATATCAAGAAAGAGCATACTAATTTATCACTTCACTCATTTACAACATTTGCCAAACATGTATATGGAAATTGGCTCATTTAAGTTTCTGCCATTTACAAATTGCGGACTGCTATATATCTCATAATTTTGTTTAAGTTTGAACATCACCGGGGGCACATAGGGAGATCTTGTTCGTCTTCATTAATTCCTTAATGATTTTTTTCAAACAATGAGCTAATCATGACTATCCACCTAGGAGATGATACAAAACAGCAACAAAAAAATCATAGACAAAAATCCATCCATGTATGCGTCCAGAAGTTTCCAAATCAAACTGTCACATTTGTAGCAATAATTTTGATGTAAAGAGACCACCATAATATCCCATGGAGTGAAATCATTTCTTAAATGGTTGCTTTTGTTCATTGGTTCCCCTCTCAGACATTTCCAAGGCATGAAATTCTAAATTGAATCTAATGTTTAGAGTACACTATTTGGTGTCCACTCCCTCACTATTAAATATTTCTATTTTCTTAACATAAAAACTGAGTGAGAAGGCTGCATTTAAAGGATAAACAGAGAGCTTATTAACAGTTAAAATTGTACCTCTAAATCTTCTCAAGGATAAATAGAGAATTTATGCCCAATTACAGTTCTCTTCCAAACAGTTTTTGGGCAGAATGTTAAATATTTAGCTTTGTTTAGTCCAAATTCTGAGCAACATATATGTATATATATCCTATGAATATCTTTTGATTGTGTTTGGATCATGAATTTGAGTAGGAGTTTGCAGAGGGAAAGAAAAAGAGGAGAAAGGTGAAAAAAGTTAGCTCATATTTCATTCACTTCACTGTTCCTTGCGATTTGCAAACCCCTTCCTGAATCCATGATCTAAACCCAACCTTAATCAATATGATAGGAGTAAGAGTCTAGAGTTTGTGTTGGTTTCACATTACCTATACCAATTTTCAACCAAATCTGGAGCCCTTTAGTTGATCCTGTTAAAAAAAAAAAAAAAAACATAAAGTAAAACTTTGTGGCTGGCAAGTTCATACTGCAAAGTTAGAAAAATAGATGGAGTGATGGAGAAGTGATTTGGAACAAGAAGACAGAGGAGAGTGGGATAGAGAATCTGGTTCCCTATCTTGTTACTTCTTAGATGCAAAACATACATTTATTAGAAAGCCAACACCTTAATTTTAAGGCTGGTAAAAACTTTATGGAGAAATAAACTTTAAATCTCTCTCAGATATCGTGAGGTGTATTGTATGTTTTATTGTGCACTAAGATTTAAGCTTTTAACAGAAAGTGGCATAATAAGAAAATACAGACAGTGATTTAATCAAGTTTTACTGAACAAGTTCCATTATAAATATGTGCAAGGCCAAAAATATTAGCAAATTAACAACATGAATTTCTAAAAGCAATCTGTAAAAAGGAAAATTTCAAGAAAATTAAAGACTTTAAGAAAGAAAACTTCTATGAAAAAGCTTGTTAAGGCGAATTATGGTCCCAAAAAAGAACCAATAAAATTGCACATACCATTCTGAGTTGCAGAGCATGAGGATGCATAAGCTTTATCTGAGCAAAAGCAGGTAAATGAGCTTGAACCCGATTCATACCCACATTGCCCACCCGATGTGACACATTGACTGCACAGATCACTATTTGCAGACCACTGCAACCCAAAACCACCATCAAGAGCTGCCTTTAGACTTGTTGAAGAAGATGAATTACCCTCCAGAGCCTGAGCTGCAGATTGAAACACTGGAACTATGACACTTGAAAAACAACTTATCGTACTTTTGGAGAATAGTGTGCTTCTAGTCAGATAAAAATTTCTGTCATCAATCCCATTAACACTGCAGTTGAACTGCCCAGAACTGCCCATTTATAGAACTGGAATTTGGCTGCAGGAACTATGACACTTGAAAAACAACTTATCGTACTTTTGGAGAATAGTGTGCTTCTAGTCAGATAAAAATTTCTGTCATCAATCCCATTAACACTGTAGTTGAACTGCCTAGAACTGTCCAGTTGTAGAACTGGAATTTGGCTACAGCCAAAAAACAGAGTCAGATTCTGCGCGTCGGAAGCCCGGATGACCACAGTAGTCTGGTCTGTTGCCTCCCCAGAAAGGATAATCAATGTTCTGCATGTTTGCACACTGGAAGGTTTTGCTGCAGTTTAGAAATTGTTCGTCAGTGGCATGCATGGATAATGGAATATGGATTAAGATGAAGATCAGTGTGATCATGAAGAACAGAGAGGAGGATGGAGATGGATGGAGATGCATTTTGACTTCAGAGAGAGAGAGAGAGAGATGCTTATCTAACAGAGAGAGAGAGAGATGGAGACTAATGAGTATTATAACAAAGTGAAATGGGACTGAAGTTTTTTTAAAGAAGGGAAAGAAAGGAGAAGTTTCACCATAAATAATCTAATATTATTAGCAATGACTTTAATTGCACTCAAATAAGAAAAATAAAATAAGATTGAAAATTTTGACAACAAAAGATTCTTAGCCAATTGATATGATCAGCTTTGCAACTGTTAAAGTGCTAGGTAAATTGTAGATGCATTTAACTGACACTTGAACATGTAGATATATTATAAAATTAAATAAACCAATGGTCGTCGCAACAAACTCCATCTTTTATGAATCTGATGAAACACCAATATTGTTGACTAGAGTTTATAAACCTGGTGATTATTTCAATATTTGCATACTGCTGCTAGAAAAGAATCAAATTCCATGCCAAGTTAAAAGCAAATATATTTAATAATAAAATAAAAAAAAAAAAACCTATGTTTGTGGTCAGATGATGATGTTTTAGAAACTTCTGACACAATAATTAGCAACACATCAATTCAAAGATGTAGCGGTATGGTATCCGACCAGAGAATGAGCTCCCAGAACCATAGAAGTAACCGATTCAATATACACACATCAACAATTCTGCTTTAACCATACATTATGGAAAAACATCATCACTGAAAAGAAAATTTTCATATTCATATGAGGATGTTGATATAACAAGGAGTGAAGAAGAGAAACCAAAAAAAAAGAAAAAAAAAATGAATATTCCCTTATTTTCCCAATTTACCTTCTGAACACACAAGTAACATCAATGATCTGTTCTATGAAACAAACTCAATATATTAATCTGGAATTAAAGTTGATGCATTGATACTGAAGAAACACTACCAATTGAATAAATTACCTTTTCAAGTGGGATTAAATCATCGTCACTACCAATTAAATCATCGTCCTTGATGCATTGATACCGAAGAAACACTACCAATTGAATAAATCATCATCCCCACTCCTCTTGATCAAAATGTCGAAGTGTTTATGCGGCAATATGTGGCAAAGATTTAAATCTCATGTCATATGACCCACACCTCAAAATGAATTTGATCTACATATTTTAAATTCAAAAAATTTAATGTATCAGCAACCTTACTGCAACTATTTAAGAAAGCGCTCAACTAATATATGAAATTCAATGCACTAATCTGTCAAGTGTTAGAAAATACAAAAACAAATCTGCCTTCAGATAAAAACATGAATAGGCAAATGGATAAAAAAATAAAAGCATGAACAATTTTACCATCTTGTTGCCAAAAGTAGAACCTCAGACCTTGCAGTTATCAGATTACCAAAAAATATTTTCAAAGGGCATAGTAAGGTTAACGTTCCCTTCTATTATCAAACTTCATTACACAAAACTAACTGATTCAATCAAAATGAATTCTTGTTTGTTTTGACTACAGTGTTATGGATGACCTGACAACTCTATTTCACATCAGCTAATCTAGTAGCTAGTCAAACTTCATTACACTTATTTAGATTACACTACTAGAATTTAAAATACTTCAATGCACCCATTCCAAAATATGAATCGCCAGGGTTAGTGTTTTCTGGTAACACTGTGCTAATCCAATTGGAAAATGATTGTTGAGCAAAAGCTTAATTATCAACTCAATCAAATCCCAAAAGCACATAGTGAATTCACAATTTTACTGTTACCACAACACATAAATAAATACTAATCAAACAAATAACTGCAAAAAACCAAAGAAATAAACGAAACCCTAAACCCTAATTTCATGAAATTGAAGCAAATACCTGAGACCCAGCAAGCTCCTCAAACTGCTTAACCTAATCCTCCATCATTGGATCCTTTCCGAAATCGTCTGCAAGGGGTTTCGAGCCCGTGACAAACTCGAGTCCCCTGACAGCCTCCCTAGTCTGCTCTCTAAGCTTATCAAGAGCTTCCAAAACATGAGATTCTTTGGAAACCTTTTGCTTGCCCTTTTTCTTACTTCTCAAGTCAGGCAAACCCATACCCAAGCCTTGAACCTCACTACTAGGCATAATACAACTCTCATGTTTCTTCATTTCGCCATCTCCACTCCTGAAATCAAAGGGCAAAGCTATCAACATATTTATATATACGTATACGTATATGTATACGTATATGAGGAGAGAGAGAGAGAGAGAGAGTAATACCTTTGAGTTTGAACAGAAGAAGTAAGATTGGAGATTTTGGAAATCATCCAAAGCGCCTGAAATGATTCAATGGTGATTAGAACTCATGTAAATACATACATATACATGTATATACATATACATAGAGAGAGAGAGAGAGAAAGAGAGAGAGATTGAATTTCTTACTATCGAGGAGCTGGTCTAAAACAGAGTGTTCCGCCATTAGCTTACAATCTCTCTCTCTCTCTCTGCCTCTCTATTATCTATCTCTCTGTTCTTCTGTGTATGTATAAGTTGATTGAAGATCCAAGAGAGACTCCGAATGATTGATTCAATGTGCCTAGGGTTCGAATCGAACGCAAAGACGAGAGAGAGAGAGAGTGGTTCGATGTTGTTTGTTCGCTTGTCTCGCACCTATTTCAAAGAGAGATGAGAGAGGAGAAAATGAGAAAGTGTGAGCTAACAGATTCTAAAGATAAAAAATTTCAATTCCCGCCCCACGTTTCAAAATTCCCTCCCAAATTTTTGGCGACCAAAATACCAGATTAGTCGCAGAAAATGTACCCTTTGCCGACAAATTTTTTTAGT